GCCGGTGGGAAGATGGTACACACTTAGCAGTCACTGCTCTTCTTTGGCTTCTGATCGCCTGTGCTGACAGACGCAGGGTAGACTTGGCTTCAGGTGAGACAAAGGAGTTGAGTGAAGAACGGTCTCGATTGCAGTCTTCATGAGCTGAGCCCCAAAACCTTTCCCTTCTGGTCGTGTTGTAGGCTGCAGCTTGGACTTGTGTCACATACACTAAGTGTGAAGAACCAGTGTAGGACTGGCTGCTGGTAGGCTGATCATACCATGCAACTGGAGAGCTTGGAGATACATATGCATCAGCATGGGGTTTACGTGTATATATGCACACTACAGTGTGGAGAGAGAGTGAGCATGATTTCAAACATGGATTCAGACCCACCCTAATTGACTCTTCCCACAATCTCCGTGCGTTTATTAGTGTAATAAAACTGCAGGTGATAGGAAAATGTATTGTTTGACCCAAACCTCAGTGCTCTCAGGTACAGGAACTCTTTTTTTTTTTTTAAATTTAATTTTCATGAACGTATTTGACTCCTCCTGCCTCATTGCAACCTCATGTTTGCATGGGCAGCTTGCTGACTCAATATACTTCTTTTTTTCCTGCTTCTTTTTTTCCTGGTAACTCTTCAGCACCAGGTTAAGCTGCTGTTTGTATTATGTGTTTTACAGCTTAGAAGTATTTATTTCTAGCAGGAATTTTACATTGTTCCTATCTTCTTGGCTGCTAGTGCATTACTATAACTCTTCCTTGTTAAATGTGTTTGTATCATCTTGTGTTGTCTAATCTCATACTTCAAAACAAGTACTGAATCCTGTGAGTTTCTCCTAAGCCCTTAGCAGCATTCAGTGAGCACCACTGTCTGTTTAACATCAGGCTTTGGGCAATGAAAAACAACATTCACATCTGCTTTTCCCCACCTTTAAGAATAGAAATAGATGTAGCACAGCCTTTTGCAGCGTCTTTGATCTAGGCCCTCTTCGATGTTTGAAAGCTAGTCCTGATTCCTGGAACACAATCTCCTGACAGAAGGTCTTTTCATTGGACCGGAAGCTTTAAATGCATGAGTAAGGCTTTACAGAATCCGTGGAGCTGGAGCTCAAAAAACCCAAGAATTTTTATTTATGTATTTTGTCCCTCTGGGAACAGTTCATTGGCAGATATTTATCCCAGACATGTATTCAGCAGGTTTCCTTGAGCTAATACGTGTTAGGAGGTGGCTCCTTCTGTTTCTTTTGCCTAAAATGTGTGTTAGCCTTTTCTAGGGCTGCCATAATTCTGCTTTTGTTCTTTAAATACATCTTGCTTCTTTGAATTGTCCAAAGCAATACTAGGTCTTCACATCATTAAATTCAGAAACCAGGAGGTGTTTCTGCAGGTGTACTTAGACCAGAGGGTGCTTGGTCAGCCTCAACAACCTGCAAGGGTGGCAGCGGGAGCTGGGAGGTGCTGGATTAGGTGCTGAGGGACCATGGATAGATTAGTGAAGATGGAGATGGGAGAGTTCTTGGTGCACGGCCTGGGGTGAGAGGGGTTAGGAGCTGTGGACTGGGAGACATTAGCGGTTACCATGGGACCTGTCCCCTACCTGGGCATCTCTGAGCAAGACCCGTGTTTCCAAGCAGGGATGCTCACAGGGCCTGCTCTCTGCTCCTCTGTTCCCTCACCCTGTCCTCCTCCCCCCTTTCACCATTAGAAACCTGCTTGAATCATTGCACCCTTGGTACCAACGAATCTCTGCTCCGGTTTAAGAGTTTTACTCATGTAGATTCAAATGCAAGGGCTGTAGGCTATGGAGAAGTGTTTGGAGAAAACTTGGGAAACTTGGGATGAAATGTATTATGCTAATAAAGCTGCTTGCAAAGCCATGCAAACTAGCAACACTGTTTTCTAAGATTTACTAAACTAAGCCTTGCAAACTTCAGTAGATGCTGAACAAATTAAAAATTACATTTTAGAACAAATTATCGTTTCCTTCTTAAAATAAAGTACATGGGTTTTATTTCTGTGTGTTTGAGGAAAGTTCTTTGATTATACTAAAATAAGCTAAAATTTTCCCTTTGTTATTTTAAGGTTAATTGTTTTACTAATAATTAAACACTTAATTTAGACACACTTCCAAAAAATGAGTAAGTTTGTACTTAAGCATATGCGTAAGTTCTTGTCAGATGTTCTGAACGTCTGGTTATAGTTTGCCTAGGTTTTAAAGGAAGTTCCACTATAGGAGCAGTATGAATCCATATGCATTAGAAGAGCAGTATTAATGGTTGCAAGGTTTCCTCTCTGATTCCTTTTCCCAATTATAAATCTTTCTCTTTTTTTTAATGTCAAAAACCGCATACTGCATAATATGTCTAGTCTGGAGAGGTTTAATGTTTGATAATGTATGGGTTTTATTGATGTAAAATAATTTGAAAATTATGCATGCTGCAGAACTTAATTTTGCTTTCAGCTGCTGATGCTCTAAATTTCAGTATTTTTCTTCTAATTTGGTCATTCTAGAAATAACATTTAAAAGCTATTTTCCACATCACGACTGAAGAGTTGTCATGTTTATTTAACCAGCTCCATCTGGCTTCCAGTGAGTCTCAAATTTCAGTTTTTCACAGGCGTGCATGGATTCCTGCCATGCCCACAGAATGCAGAGAAAATTTCTGCTAAGCCTGGTTTTTGTTTGTTGAAAGAAGCGTCCTTTTTACAGAAGAGGAGATTAAATATTTTTCAGATTATGGCCTACCTCACAGATTCCTTGTTCCTTAGAGGAGAAAATACAGATCTTCTGGCATGGCCCCACTGCTGGCACCACTGCATGTGGAAAACGTTTTTCAGTGGTGTTTTTTTGGGCAAGGCTGGAGATGATGAGGTCATTTTAAAAAGCCTTCATGCCTTTTTAGCCTCCATGTCGGTGGGCCGTGGGGACCAGAAAGATGTGGAGCCGGGTCCTGCCACCACCTTGCAGCTCCCTGGGAGAGTCGCTGCCCTTGGCCTCTGGGCAGCTCTTTGGCACAGCGGGTTCAGAGCGTGGCCTCTGCCACTCGAATACCAGTGTCCTCCGCCATGCAGCCTGCGGTCTGTGCTTACCTCGTTAATAACTTCCCTGACACAGCTTACAAAAGAAAATGAAAATCTTTTGCATGGTCTTTCTGCAAGTACATCACACCAGAGGGTAATTTTTTATGCTTGTGACTGAGAGCTTATACCAGGGATGTGGACAGGAGGTGCCACGTTCAGCACAGCCTAAATGGAAATTAAGCAGAAAAATATGATTTTAAGACTAGAGAAGTACTGATAACAGAGGGAGTATTTTCTGAGGGTTTGCAATTAAAAACACTCCCCCCTGACTGTTAACAAGTTGTTGTTGGAAGTTGAATGGAGAAAAGTCACACATGCTTCTCTGATTTTAGGAATTCCAGATTTGATTTATAATGCAAGACACAACCCTCATTTCATTTCAAAAATGCCACGATGTCTTTTTCCCCAAGCCTGCCAGATCATCTGATATTTTAACTTGCTTCTAGTAAGGGCGTACCTTGACCCTCCATTCTACCTGACTGCCCGGTGAGGGGTTGGAGGTGGGCAGGGGCTGAGCCGCAGCGGGAAGGGGAACGTGAGAAGCTCCTGAATTAAATGCAGCGAACAGTGTCTGTCCTCCTCAGTTTCCCAGCCCGCTGTGCATGCAGCAAACCCATCCATGCACGAGGTCGTGCTCCAGATCTGAATCGCAGAGATGTGTCAGGGCGCTGGGGGAAGGCACATTCCAAATGGTGGGTTAAATAGGCGTAGGAAGGAAATGGTATTACTGCTGATTGACTCTGGTTTTAGTGTTTAATGGTGTTCATGACATGTGTGGCTTCAGGCTGACAAGAAGACAAACTTGCTCCCCCAGCAGACAGAGTGGAGATTGTACCCCTAGAAGATACAGGCAGAGAGGTGTCTCTGTTAGATTGCTGGCTGGTGTCACTGTAGGGAGTACAGAAAAATAAAAGCATTTTTTCAAGGAGATGTAAAGGGAATTCTGTCAGTGGACTGTAGTCACATGTACGATAGAAGTGTAATCCAAAAGGAAAGAGTGAATTAGTTAAAAAATAGTTGAAGGAACAAGTACCTTAAGCATGATCATAAAGGATGTGAAAACCATCCTATCACTGACATCTTGTGAGAAGACAAAAGCTGTATTGGTATGACTGATTTTCGGTGTATGAATAAAATATGTATGTAATATTTAAGGCAAAGAAATTGCCCTTTGGGAAATTGAGTCCAAGAAAAACAATGTCTGAAGATGTGTCTTGGTGCTCTATATGAGTACACTACATGAGTCTGCTTTTGGTCGGTCTGGATGTGTGTGCTTTAATTAGCTATTTGGAGGAGGAGGACTGACAGTTCTTTTGCTCTGTTTTTCTTCTAGCTCTTACAAGACTGTGTTAGGTCTACCTGGCTGCCTGTGACTTTGAAATAAACTTTTAGATTCTCTAGTAATTATTTTTGGGATATCTGTAGTGTAAAAGCAGAATGGTGTATTGGCAAGATGTTGTGTATTCAGATGTCCTTTCAATGTTTCACAAAGATTAGGAAAAGTGATGTTTCACCAAGTCCAATTTCTTAATGAGGTTGTTTTTCTGATGTTAATGTAGGCTTAAATGGATCTGACTAGTTTCTAGTGCTTTTGTTTTTTTTTCCTACTACTGGTATATTTATCAGTTATTCTCTGAAGGACACCATCTGATTTTTAAGGTTGTGAAATAGGCGTGGTTTACTAACTTCAGAAAGCTAGATCCTTAAAAAAAATCGTGGTTTTTTTTTTAAACAAGATTCAGTCTTCTGTGATTTTTTTATATGAAAAAGTTTTATTTTCTTCCTTTTCATTCATATATATATGCACACATATAAATACATCTAGAATGAGCTTCATACAAATCCTTGTTGTTGTTAAATCACTTGTTAAAGTACAGTAGTCAAGTCTGCGTTGCCCTTACCGTTCAACTATTTTGTTTTGTTCTTTACACAGGAGCCCTTACCAAAGTAAAGGAGAGTAAGCGGCATGTGGAAGAGGGGAAGATGGAGCTCCAAAAAGCTGAAGGCATTCAAGAACGCTGTAACATTATTTCTTTTGCGACCCTAGCAGAAATTAATCATTTCCACAAAATTCGTGTGAGGGATTTTAAATCACAGATGCAGCATTTCTTGCAACAGCAAATACTCTTTTTTCAAAAAGTGACACAAAAGCTTGAAGAAGCTCTTCACAAGTATGACAGTGTTTAATCTCTGAACTTTGCTTTGTGGACTTCCCTCAGCATGAACATGACTCAGGCGGCAGAGCAAGTGCTGCTGCTGCTGAATAACTTTTGCCAGTGGGAGATGGTGGTACAAGGATGGTTTTGTGTTCACCTGGAACCCTGGTTTAATTCCGATTATGTAGAAAGGAAACAGTTATAGGGCTATGTAGTAGAAACAGTACCACGCATTGTAACTAAGTTATACTGTGTATGCCTACACTACCATTGTAACTTTTTTGAAATAATGAGTATACTATTTGCCTTATTGCTTTTTGAAATATGGTATTTTAGTGCATACTTTGTAGACCTCAAAACCCTTTGGGTCTTTAAGGAAGTTGGCTAGATAAAAGCCTGCTTCAGATGCCTTTTTACTTTCCTAGATTTGGATTTCCTAAATTCAAACGATTCTCTGTTTACAGACTCCTACTAGAGCAGCTATGTGATTCTGTGCCTTTAGACTCTTTCCTTTTCTAGTAAGTCACATTTTTATGATTGAATGAATGAAGGGTTAATGCCTATGACAGGAACTGATTATGAAACCTCACACTGACTGGAAAAAAAATCAACTGCCATCCAGTTTGCACAGCAAGTACTGTCATACGACAAACGCTGGCTCAAAAAGGAGAACTTAAACCTATTCACACTTTCCCTGAAAATGGAGACTACTTGTTACATGTACTAGGATGTTAAGCACATATACAAAAATACACCACGTAATCCCCTTTCTGAAATGAATAATACAGTGAGGGGTTTTGTTTTCATATAAAGTGTGACTGTGAGTGGAAATTTGAAGAGCTAGCTTAATAAAAATTATGTATATCAAGGGGATATGAATGCAAGCTCTGCGGCTGGAACATTTTTTTTAAGTTTGAGATGATCTGCTCCTTGTTCGGTTGCTGATTCAGTTTAACTTCAGACTTGCATATATGTTGCCAGTTGTCTGAGTTGAAACTCCACTGTGATTCATGAGTTTACTAAGTTACAGATTTTTGGGGATGTTAGTGATGTCAGCGATCTGAAATAAGTCTTCGCTGAACTGACTTAGAAAACAAGTGGTATTTTTATGTTTGTAACACTCAAGAATTAACAATTGTCTTATTTTTTGTATAAATATTTTTGACAAGCAGGGTGCATTTATATATATGTAAACACTATCTTTTAAAGAGTTTTCTGGCTTATTTGCCTTTAATTCAGTCTGAAGTCTGTTTCTTACCTATTGGTTTCCTTCTTATAGGTCAGTATGAAAGAGTTTTTATTTATCCTATCTTTTTTCTCCTAAACGAAAATAACAAAACCTTCTGAGAAAGCAAAAGGTTTACTTTTTTTTTGTTTTTAATGAAAATTATCAAAGATAGCTTAAACAAATAAAAGCTTGGGAAAGTAAATTAAGCAACTGTTACATTTAAGTACAAATCATTCCTTACCTATGCAGCGGAAATGTGCGTTTTTTTCATTTGATCATGTGAGTTTCTATAGCTTAACCTCACACCTCTGTTTTAGAGGCATAAATGTAAGAATGCAATTTTGGTTTTAAGATTCATCCCCAAATGCTTGGAGATTGCTACTTTGCGCAGGTTGTGTTTGTCAGTGCTTCTAGTGCTTTCCCAAAGAAGTAAAATACAGAATAATGAAAAGACCAGTATTTGTAAAAAGAAAGGACAATCAGTGAGGAAAGACTCCATTTCCAGGCTATTAAAAGAGTGCTGCATATGACAAGGTTGACCATAAAATAAGGACCATAGTCATAGGGCTGACTTGATCTTTGTCTTCCTCATGGCATCTCGTTCTACATTCAGAACTCACCACTTCCCCTAACAGATCTTCCCAGCAGTACTCCAGCTTCCTGTATGTCGTTTAGTTACGTGAGATAGCAATGAGCTAGGTTTGAATTGAGTTCCATGGCTTATGTTTGCCTAAGCCAGATACTGTTTTATTAAATGACTTTGCAATAATTAGATCAGACTACAATCAAATTAATTCAACGCGGAGGTGTTAAGACCTGTTCAGAAATTGATCTTGGTCCAGTTGAAGTATTCTAGGAAGTTAGTATTAATGACATGTACATGTCCAGGAGGAAATTAAGCTGTGATATGTATACGTACGACATCATCAGACAGGTACAGTTTTCCCAAATAAACTGTCATGGCCTTCACCTTACTTTCTCATTTGTGAGTTTTTGGGGTGGAGGGAGAGTGGGGGTGCTGATTGATTAAACTTGATGTACCAAAAAAGCTTGACTGGAATCCTGGATCTGAATTGTTGCAGAGTTCAGAAAGGTTCAAATCTGCATCCATATTAACATCCTCCTGTTTTCCTAACTCATTATAGAGTTGGAGTTAAACTGGCATAGGGAGCCTGAGCTCCATTAATGCTTACTGCACTGTGCAAGAACTGCAGTTCCAATATTATTTGGAACAAGTATAACATTGACCTCTCATGACTGACGGGACTACTAGATGGTGTGGTCTGAGAGGCGAATATACTCTATAGTAAAGTGAATGTATGTTGTGTGGGACTTTGGAAACATCAAAGGAAATCTAACAATCCTTTTAAATAAATAAACATGGAGGAAAACAAATTAGCTCTATAGCATTATGTTAAAGCCTTTGTGTTATTCCATTCCTGTAGGTTTTTTTTGATGCATCGCAATTTTTGCATTAACAAGTAGCAAGTATCTGGTATACTTTTTGGGGATTAGAGAGGTTGAATTGAAAGCTGCAAGAAGATCCACTGAGTTATCAGTTTCTATTAAAAGTCCTGAATCCAATGAAAATTGTGGAATGAACCCATCGGTGGAATATATCTACTTAGAATCACGAGCAAGTGGAGTGTGAATAATGTTTCCATTCAAACTGTAGGGTTTATATTTAGAAATTAACAACCTGCTAAAATTATGAGATCAGTTTGTTCGCTAGCCCTTTTGTCGTCTCATACTTGCAGAGAGGACAGTTGCCTCTGTTTATGACTTGTGCATGTTTTATAGATTCTCTCTACCAGTTTCAGGGTCAAATAGCATGGTATGCTTGATC